ATTAGCAGTTTCTAGTTTAGCATACAATTAATAATAAAGTAGGTAATGGGGTCTATCTACTAAATCATACTGAATTGAAATGAATGACTATAGCTGAGTTGGGGGATTGCTGCACACGCAAACTAAGCACCATGACACCTTTAAATCACTTAAAGGATCACAATAGTGTCAGGAAAACAAATCGATTTTCCTGACATTATAGTGCCCTGAGGGTGCCCCCACCTTCAGGGTCCCCCTCCCGTGGCGCTGAAGGGGTTAAAACCCTTTCAGCCACTTACCTTATTCCAGCGCCGGGCTCCCTCGGCGCTTGTGACCTCTCCTATCCCGCCAACTTCAGCTCCCACGGCCAACGTCAGAGGAGCCGAAAGCGCATGCTCGGCAAGTGCCACGCGCGCATTCAAATGTGATCCTCTGCCGATAGAGGCATAATATGCCTCCAGCGTCGCAGATGCGCCTCTAGTGGCTGTCGGAAGACAGCCACTAGAGGCTGGCTTAACCCTAAATGTAAACATAACAGTTTCTCTGAAACTGTTATGTTTGCATCTGAAGGGTTAAAACCTGAGGGACTTGGCACCCAGACCACTTCATTGAACTGAAGTGGTCTGGGTGACTATAGTGTCCCTTTAAGTAGTGATGGTACTCAGAGAAACCCTTTACTAATGAAAGGCAAAACTGTGATTATAGCTGATTTGGAGACTTTTACCAGATCAGCTATTTGTGACTTAGTTGTGATATTCAGAATTGGTAAAAGAAATGCAGTTTAGTGAGTAACCCTGCTAGCTAGCTAAATCTCCACAATTACTGGTTTAGTGAAGATCCTGACAACAAGAATACAAACATGTGAATACAAGAGACAGACAAACCACAAGATAGCATAACAGCACCTGCCAGGTGTCTGTAAGGGTTAAATAAGCATATATATTTTTTCATAGATTGAATGATCACATTATGATTATGGGGTCTTATGCATTCATTTGGCACTCGCATGGTTAATGGGAATGTTCTTACAGGTGTAGGCTTTTAGAATCCTGATTGTCACAAGTGCAAAGGATTTGTACAGCAACTTCATAATAACTGTACTAATACATAAGTAATGTTGCTATAAATAAAGCTGCAGCAGTAAACACAGGAAGCCTAAGTTTAAGTGCAATGGCTGCAAGTGCATTATGTCGGTGATGTCAGGTGACACATAGTACACAGAAGAAAAATACTCATTGGTCCTATCTGATCATATGTCCATGTTCATTTGAAGACAGTACTTTTGTTTAAAAAAAAAAAAAAAAGTCCTCAAAGTTATTAACTGAGCCTTTAACTCTGATTGTCAATGATGCATGGCTCTCTGCATCTGTTGCTCAGCCTTCTGGCACACAGTGGAAATGGTTTTATCACATAGCAAAAAAAGGGAAATAAGATAGGTACTTCTTTACCACACATACACAGGTCATAGACATTTTAGGTTCTAACATAGATACATTATTACAAGACCAATAAAAACAATATTTAGGTTCCACGCTGCCTATAATGTTCTATCCCTAAAATTAGTGTTACCATTATACCCTGGTGCAGACTTTCAATGCATATAATTGTAAATAGAAGTGATTTTTATTTAGGAAGTATATGGATGAGGCAGACCATAGGCAAATGTAACAGGCAGAGCTTCTCAAGTTTAAGGAGAGTTATACATTGGATATGTGAAGGTTCTAACACCCACACCATGTGCAGCTGCCCACATGAGGAGGACCCATAACGGGCACTGTATAGTCTCTCTATACATCCCCACACACCCTCGCAGCCCTCCTCCCCCTCCTCGGGCCTAACCCCAGCACGACACAATCTCTAATGGCAGCTCCACGGCGGATATAATAATACACAGAGCCGCCCCCTTGCTCCATTTATTTATATATCATTTGCTATATGCATATCTCAGCCTTCCTTGCCCTGCTGTCCTGGTATGCACACACAGAGGGTAATGGTGACCCTGGCAGACACCCCTTAACCCTGGGAGTGCAGGTTTGGGTACAGGAGGGGATGACAGTGTTAGGGACACCTTGTGCTCCTCCCTGCGTGTGACCTGCAGGCTGCTCGGCTTCACCTATCCCCTCTGCCCTGCCTCCTTGGCAGCTCAATGACCCGTCGGGTGCCAGGGCAGTGCCAAAGGTGACAGTCCAGCATGGCGCCTGTCATAACACCGCCACACCTAGCAACCCAGCCAGGCACCAATGGCTGCTACTGGGCCAGCAGCACGGACATAGCCCGAGGGTGGCTGCAGCGACACACAACCCACACCCAGGGGGCGTACCTCTGCCTAGGGAGGACCACAGAGAGGGGGCACAGCTGTACATTGGCATGGGGGAGTGAGTGCCATCCATGGGGTGATAAATCAGTGCATGAAACGAATGGCTGGGTGTATGCCCATGTGGGCTGCAAATTAAATTAGTGCATTGCTGAGTGTTCAGCATAGGGCTATACATTAGTGAATGCAGTGCACGTCTAGGTGCATATGGAGGTGGGGGGAGTTGAATTAGTGCAAGAAACGCATGTAGGTTTAGGCAGGGGGTGGTAGGTTAGTGTATGCATTGTATGACTATGTCTTGCATATAGTGGTAGATTAGTGTATGCCTTGTTGCATGTATAGCATGAAGTGCTACATTAGTGCATGCATTGCATGTCTGTATAGCATTACATGCTAGGTTAGGGCATGCATTGCATATCTGCATGTATATCTCTGAGTGGTATATTTGTGCATGCATGTAGTACTAGATCAGGGAATACATTGCATGTCTGTGTAGCATGGGGTTCTAGATTAGTGCATGTATTGCATGGCTGCATGTATAGAATAGAGTGGTAGATTACAGCATGGCTGTATATATATAGCATGGGGTAGTAGATTAGTGCATGCATTGCATGGGGTAGTAGATTATGTGAGCAGTGAATGGCCATATACATATACCATAACAGACAAGTAGGTTACTGGATAGTAAGTATTGGTTATTTTATTGCAAAGTGGGTGTTTGATTCATACTTGCTTAAATGTATATAAGTGGGTTGCAGATGATTGCATGTCATGCAGATAGTTTACAATGTATTCCAGAATATGTGCCAAAGGAGTGGTAGTATACTAGAAGTAATATATGCCACAGGGATCTGGTACTTTATCGTGTATTGCATGGATTGATGTATATGTACCAGATGGGTGAGTGGGTGCAGCTATTCTAAAGAGGAGAGGAGCACATGCCATTCACAGCTGTTGGTGGGTAGGTAGGGTAAAACACGACTACAACAGAGGGCAGGTGAGTGCCTGCAATGCAAAACTGTGTAGATCCACAAAAATGGAGTGGATGATTACTTCAAATTCCTGAATTATATACCAAAATGAGTGGAAGGGTGACTGCTGCTTAGACATTACTTCATGTATACCAAATATGCACCAAAGGGAGTGGGTAAGTGTATGCAATGTGTTAAAGGTATTGCTATATGTATACCAAAAATACACCCAAGGGAGGGGGGGATGAGTGCAGGTTATGCATTACTATATGTATACCAGATATACACCCAAGGAGAATGGGTGAGTATATACAATGCATTTTATATATACCAAGAGGGTGGGTGAGTGCATGCATTGATGAATATATACCAAGGCATGGGTGGCTGAGTGCATGCAATGCATTGAGATAGATATACAGACAGACCGACCAAGGGGGTGGGTGAGTGCATGGGGGTGGGTGAATTTATGCAATGCATTGCTGTATATATATCAAGGGGGTGAGTGCATTTAATGCAGTGAAATATACCTAAAGGAGTGGACCGTTGCATGCAATGCATTGCTGTGCATATCAAGGGGTGGGCAAGCGCATGTAATGCAACACCACATGTGTACAAGGGATTGGACGTGAGCATGCAATGCACGGTTGAATGTACACACCAAGGGGCGGGTGCATGCGATGCACTGCTGCATATATACACACCAAGGGGGTGGGGTGAGTGCATGCAATGTGCTGTTGTGTATATATACTAAGGGGGTGGAGGAGTGCATGCAGTGCAATTATATATATCAAGGAGTGGGTGAATGCATTGCTGTGTATGTATATACCAAAGGGTTGGGTGGGTGCATGCAATGCTGTATATAACATGGGGTGGGTGAGTGCATGCAATGCATTGCTGTGTGTATATATATATACCAAGGGGGTGGGTGAGTGCATGCATTGCTGTTTCTTTACCAAGGGGGTGGGAGGGTGAGTGAGTGCATGCAATGCATTGCTGTTTGTAAATATATACCGGGGTGGGTGAGTGCATGCATTGCTGTTTCTATACCAAGAGGGTGGGTGAGTGCATGCAATGCATTGCTCTGTGTAAATATATACCAGGGGTGGGTGAGTGCATGCATTGCTGTTTCTATACCAAGGGGGTGGGTGAGTGCATGCAATGCATGGATGGAGTGCAATATGGAGGGCCACCCATAGGAAGGTGTACCATGGTAAAGGTGGACCCCAAGCTGTCATCCCCTGAACCCTTGCCCTGACCCCCTCCTGGGGTGCCATTATCAGGAGCGCTGCCCAGGACAGTATGATGTGATGGCTGGCACCCTCACCCCACGGCCACGCTGCCCACTCGGGGAGCAGGGGGCACCCCATGTGCAGTCGGGCACTCACCGATGTGGTTATCCTCGATGTGCTCGATTAGCTCGGCCAGGGTGGTGAAGTGGAGCCCGCAGCCCCCGAAGCGGCAGGCATTGGAGAAGAAGGAGGCGGCGGCGATGCCTGTCATCATGGTGCTGCGGGCATTGAGGTCCCGGCAGGGCTGCGGGTGGGAGTCGGACACAGATGGAGGGAGAGAGGATGGCAGCCGGTGCTGGAGGAGGGAGGGAGGGATGGAGAGGAGAGAGAGAGGGGGAGGAGGAAGCTCCAGCGTCGGGAGCGGAGGAGGTGGCGGTAGGGAGCAGCTGAGTAAAGGGGAGGGGGCAGCCGCAGCTGGGACAGGAGGAGGGACCCGAGCCACCCTCCCTCACAGCTGGACTGACACTGTGACAGCTCTGTCCCCTCCACCTGACACGGGCTGCCAGGGCTTCCTCAGAACTACCTGCTGCTGCTGTCACTGGGCCTGCATGGGGCCCCCTCCTCCCAGCTACCCAACTAGGCAGACTTTATACTTGTGACCCCAGGTAGAGCATGCTGATATCTGTCTCACTGCACCAGGCAGATAGAGAAGGAAATGACATCTTATTTTATGTAAATATTTTGTAATGCCAGTGACAGTAACTGCACAATGTTTATCTCTGGGGAAAGACCACTCGTGGGACTGGCAGCCAAAAATAAAGGCAGAAAACAAAATTGAGGTAAATTCTCATTTTTTAAAATTTGTTTCAATCTTTAAATTGCTAAAAAAAAAAATATATATATATATTTTTTTTAGCAAGTTTTAACACTCACGAGTAACTTTGTGCTGGGCACACAGGGTTATTTACAGAAGTGATATTTGTTTAACATTCAATTTCAAGTAAGTTAAAATAGTGAAAATGATCACAGTCAGTCTATCTATTTCAACTTAAAATTTTAAATTTACTTTCAGTTCCTAACAATTCACTCTTTAGTACATTTCATATTTTACTTTTGTATACAATACATAGGTTGACTTTCACAAGTCCATTTTTTAAACACTTGAACAGATGCAGCCTACGAGCCTATTTTTTGTCTACATTATTTACTGTTAATTTGGATGCTTTAACTTCCTGTTATTAATATATCTAATGACAGCTGGTGAATTTTCAAGAAGGTGGGGCACTAGACTCTACCCTTAATATTTGACTCTGCCGACTTACCCAACCCCAGACCCAATTTAAAGACTAGGTAGTCCTTTTTCACTGAAACTGCCCACGTTTTAGTCTGCTAATTATCTCACATCAGTGGCGTACACATGACCCATGGGGCCCCGGTGCGAAAATTGATCCCCCCCCCTCCGCGCGCAGGCCGGCCCGCAACACATGGCGGTGGGCACCTGGTCGCAGGGGTTACAGGGCTGCGACCCCTGCGACCGCGGTATGTACGCCAGTGCATGCAGATGCACACACACTTAAAGGACCACTACAGACACCCAGATCACTTTAGCTCAATGAAGTTGTCTGGGTGTCAGGTCCCTCTAGTTTTAACCCTGCAGCTGAAAACATAGCAGTTTCAGAGAAACTGCTATGTTTCACTGAGGGTTAATCCAGCCTCTAGTGGCTGTCTCACTGACAGCCGCTAGAGGAGCACACTGAACGTCCATAGGAAAGCATTGAGTAATGCTTTCCTATGGGCGGTTTGAATGCGTGCGCGGTCGCATTCGGAGCTGAGAGGCTGAGGGATCCCTAGCGCCAAGGGAGTCCGGCGCTGGAGAAAGGTAAGTGCTGAAGACACACACACTTACAGACGCATACACACTAGCTAACAGACACACACATTTACTGACAGAGACACACTCATCGACAGACATACATACACACTCTCTTACAAAACATACACTCTCATTGACAAACACACACTCACTAAAAGACATCAAACAGACTCACTAACACACACACTCAGTAAGACACACACAGTAACACACTCACTGACACTAGCAGACACACACACTAACACTCACTCTAACACTCACACACACTAACACTCACACACACTAACACTCACACACACTAACACTCACTCTAGCACTCACTCACTCTAACACTCACACACACTAACACTCACTCTAACACTCACACACTAACACTCACACACACTAACACTCACTCTAACACTCACACTCACTCTAACACTAACACATGTTGTTGTTTTTTTTTTTAAATGTAATCCCTGGGGTCCAGTGGTGCTGCTGGCTCCTGGGCGGGTGGCGGGTCGGGCAGGCGGCGCGCGAGGGAGCACTCAGTGCTTCCTCTTCAGCTCCCTCGCGCGCCACGTAGGGATACCGGCGCCGGAAGATGTGTCATATTCCGGCTCCGGTATCAGTGCGGTGCGCGAGGGAGCTGAAGAGGAAGCACTGAGTGCTCCCTCGCGCGCGCGCCTGCCCGACCAGCCACCCGCCCAGGAGCCCAGCAGCACCACTGGACCCCAGGGATTACATTTAAAAAAAAAAAAAGGGCTGGCCCTGTGGGTACATACCAGGTCACAGGGGCGGCCGGGCCTCCTGGTGGGCCGGGCCCGGTCGCAGCCGCAACCCCTGCGACCCTGGTATGTACGCCACTGTCTCACATTGCTAACCTTACCCATGCAGTGGATTCAGAGCAAAACTTTCGAATTACAGCAGCGTTTACCTTCAACTTCCACTAGATCAAAACTTGAAGGGTCCAACCACCACCTCTCACTAGTTTTACACTTACAGGGTTATTCCACAATTCTCATGTCCACAGCACATCCAAGGTTAAAGGGACAATATACTCACCCAGACCACCTTAGCTTATTTAAGTGGTCTGAGTGCAGTGTCCCAGTTCCCTTAACCCTGCAATGGTAAATATTGCAGTTATTGAGAAACTGCAATAATTACTATCCAGGATTAACTCCACCTCCAGAGGGATTTCCGGGTAGTTAGACGACATGCTATGCATGAGGATATTCAGCGTCACCCAAAACCCCATAGGAAAACATCATACAATGTTCTCCTATTGCTATGGGGTTGTCCTAATGCGCTTGCAGTCCAATGCTTTTACAACCTACACCTCTCTATACACATGTTTTCATATACATACATTCATCTTCATACCAGCAGTCTCTCCTCCGTACTGCCCAAGTTCTCCTTTCATTTTTTTCTTCGGATTGGATGTCTTTCCCCGTGCAGTAACAAGGAGTGATGCCACCAAAGAAGAATTAAGAATTAAGCTGCAAGGAGAACTCACCACTTGATCACAGGTAAGTTTTTATCTTTATTTCTTTTTTTCTTATGGGGAGTATTATTATTATTTTATTATTTATATAGCGCCATCATATTCCGTAGCGCTGTACATTGGGTGGACTAACAGACATGTAATTTTAACCAGACAATTGGACGTACAGGAACAGAGAGGTGGAGGGCCCTGCTCAATGAGCTTACATTCTAGAGGGAGTGGGGTATAGTGACACAAAGGGTAAAAGTAGGGGTACGAAGTAGGTTGTTAGAAAAGTATTCATTGAGGGCTTAGTAGGTAATTTTTGACAGTTGCAGGAGAGGAGTCATGGGGTATGGGGCATAAAAACCTGCTAACAGTTTAACTGATATGCTTTCTTGAAGAAGTGAGTTTTCAATGATTTTTTGAATGAGCGGAAACTGGGTGAAAGTCTTACGGAGAAGGGAAGGGTGTTCCACAGAAGAGGCGCAGCCTTGGAGAAATCTTGGAGGCGAGCATAAGAGGTGGGAGTACGGACAGAGGATAGACATAGGTCTTTGGCAGAGCGTAGGGGCCTCGACGGGACATACTTGTGTATTAGGGAGGATAGGTAGGTTGGAGCAGCATTATGTAGGGACTTGTAAGCAAGCACCAGAATTTTAAATTGAACCCTATATTTAACTGGAAGTCAGTGCAGGGACTGACAGAGCGGGGAGGCGTGGGAGGTGCGAGCGGACAGGAAAATGAGCCTCACCGCCGCATTTATTATAAATTGCAGCGGTGCAATCTGGGAACATGTAAGACCATTGAGAAGGGTATTGCAGAAGTCAAGGCGAGAGAGAACAAGAGCATGGACCAGAACCTTAGCCGCATCTGGGGTTAAATAGGGGCGAACGTGCGCTTTTGAGATGTTTTTGAGATGGAAGCTGCAGGATTTGGTGATTGATTGGATATGAGGGGTGAAGGAGAGGTTGGAGTCAAAAAGAACACCCAGGCAGCGAGCCTGTGAGGTAGAGGTGATGGTAGCGCCGTTGACTTGAAGGGAGACAGACACAGGAGTAGTAACACTTGAGGGAGGAAAGACCAGAAGTTCTGTTTTGGACAGGTTGAGTTTAAGGAAGTGAGCAGCCATCCAGTTGGAGATCGAAGAGAGGCAGTCAGAGACACGAGTCAAGATGGATTGAAAGAGATCAGGAGAGGACAGGTAGATTTGCGTGTCATCCGCATAGAAATGATAACGGAAGCCAAAGGAGCTGATGAGTTTCCCAAGGGAGGCAGTATAGATAGAGAACAGTAGGGGACCAAGGACTGAACCTTGGGGGATGCTGGCAGAGAGTGGTTGATGGGAAGAGGCGGAGTCAGAGAAAGAAACACTGAAAGAGCGCTGGGAGAGGTAGGAGGAGCACCAGGAGAGTATGCCAGCAAGGGTTACTCTAACCAAAAAACAGTGTCTTAATAAAACACAGTTTTTTGGGAGCGCAGTATTCCTTTAAACTGATGACTGTTAGCTCCTTTTTGGTATAATTGTTTAATCATGCACCTGACTATATGCCTACAAAATTCCTGATTTTAAAGGGATCCTATAGTGCCAGGAAAACAAACCCGTTTTCCTGGCACTATAGGCTCTTGGAGTGCCGCCCTCCCTCGGCACTGAAGGGGTTAAAACCCATTTAGCCACTTACCTAAATCCAGCGCCGGGCTCCCTTAGCGCTGGTGAACTCTTCTCCCCGCAGACGTCAGCTCCAGAGTGGAGCCGAATGCGCATGCGCAGCCAGAGGTACGCGCGCGTTCAAACCTGCCCATAGGAAAGCATTAATCATTGCTTTCCTATGGGGATTTTTTTTTTTTTTTAAGCTGGAGGTCCATGAGGACGTCCAGCATCAAATAGTGCGATTTACTCCGTGTAAATCGCGAAAATGCCTCTTGTGGCTGTCACGGAGACAGCCACTAGAGGTTGGATTAACCCTGCTGTGTAAATATAGCAGTTTTATGTTTTCAGCTGCAGGGTTAAAGCTAGGGGAACCTGGCACCCAGACCACTTAATTGAGCTGAAGTGGTCTGGGTGCCTATAGTGGTCCTTTAATACAATTAATTGATGCTCTTGATTTTTCTTCTCTTCACTAACATTGCAATTTGTTAATTGATACATATAACAGGGTTATTCACTAAAGTGAGAATTAAACATGAATTTTAAACTGAATCTCATAGTAGCTGGAATCATAGGTGACTAGTTTGGCTATAATGGCATTCATTTTGAAATTAGTTTTAATGCAGTGGTTCCTAAACTTTTTAGGTTCAAGGCGCCCTTAATATTTCAATACTTTTCCAAGGCACCCCAAGTCAAAACAAATTTCTAGGTTGTATACATGTACAGCGCTGCGGCATACACTGGGCCACTGTTCAGCAGAAATGTTTCCCTGTCAGAGGAGAATCTAGAACCTAATCTTGGGAGGGGCACTGGTAGATTATTTAAAGAAACAATCCAGACACAATAATCACTACAGCACCCTGTAGTGGTTATGGTGCCAGGAGTGCCATGGTGCCCTCCCAGGGTAAGTAGTCTAACTGTTTAAGAACAGTTCGACAACTTACCTGGAGTGTGCCGGAATAGGGGACTGTAGTAGGGGATAGGGCACTAGTGTGTGTGTGTGTGTGAGGGGTGCAATGTATGTAGAGTGCAGTGTGTCTACGAGGGTGCATTGTGTTTGTGAAGGATGTTGTGTGTGTGTGTGTGTGAGGGCTACAGTGTGTGCGTGAGAAGTACAGTGTGTGTGAGAGGGGGCAGGGTGTGCATGAGTGGTACAGTGTATGTGTGAGGGGTGGCAGTGTGTGTAAATGGGAGGCAGTATGAGTGTATGGGGGGCAGTGTGTGTGAGTGTGTATGGGGGACGTTATTGTGGGTCTGTGGGAGTAGGAGGATTAATAAATATAAACTTTTTTTTTTTTAAATAAAAAAAATTGTTTTTATATACAGGACAAGGCAATCCGTGGTGTTCTGGTGGAGAAGCCCTGGTGGTCCAAGTGGTGAGAGTGAACTCTATCAGCTCCTGAGGCTAGAGTTCACTTTTGTGAGATTCGGAGCATTGCCGATTGCAGCATTACAGTGCTATCGGGCCTGTGAGGGAGATCTTTGATCGCTCTCCCTTCCGGTCCTACAGAGCCGGCAGGGGAGAGCGAGGCACAGCACAATTTTCCTGGTGCTATGATCATATGATCATAGCACCAGGGAAACTTTTCACAACACCCCTGTGTACCGTGGAGCGCCGCGGCACATAGTTTGGGAACCGCTGCTTTAATGAATAAACCTGTAAACTAGTAACAGATTTTTTTTTAAAAACATTCCTATTTTCCACCTGCTAAAACCTTTACACATTTCCTAAATGTATATAGTATTTCTATATTTTGTTAAGAAAAAAATAAAGGAACCATAACAACTTTAAAATGTAGTTGTTCTGCTGCTAGGAGGTTACCAGGTGCTTTCTTACCTGAAGGGTTGAACTGTTCTTGAACGGCTTAACCCCAAAAGCTACCTCAGGTATGTATATAGTATCCATGTATATAGTATTTCTATATTTTGTTAAAAAATAAATAAAGGAACAATCTGGGCACCATAACAATGTTTTTTAATTTTTTTTATTTCGGAGCCACTGATTAGCTCAGAGCGCCAGCTAACGGCACTAGCCAAGACAAATGCCGCTGGGGGAACTGGAGATCCAACATCAAGCAACCTGTGACTAGTACGATTTAACTAGAGCTCTAAACTAATCAGTAGCTACCGTTTCATAAAAAATATAAAAAGGTACATACCACCAATCAGCAGCAATATCAGAAGTTGAATACCGTTCGGGGAACAGGAGATCCAGCACTGGAGGCAATCTTTGGGGTTAAGCCACTTGAGAATGGTTTAATCCATTCAGGTAAGAAAGCACCTGGCCACCTCATGGAACCATAACAATTGAATTTCGATAAGATGTTATAGTGCCCAAAGTGTTACGGTTAAAAAGAAAAGCTGGCTCACAGTTTATTCTTCTGGCTCCTATATTCTGTGGAAAGTTGTCAAGCCCTGCCATAAGCCAATAGATGTATTCTCAAAAACAACAACCACTTTAAATGGTTGCTTCAACAACCATGACCATTTCAGTGATTTGAAGTGATCCTGGTGGTAGGAGTCTGCATGTGCAGTGTTTCAGCTTGCAGTGTTTCAGTGTTTCAGTTAGCACTTCCAGCACAGGACAGGGCACTGACATCAGATGTAAAAAATATTACCTTTTGCAGACAGAGTGTCTGGAGGGAAGAAAGCTTTACCCTCCCTCCCACTGGGTGCTCCTGTCTCCATTCCCTTCAACTAATTGAATAGGCTTTTTTTGTTTTAATAGCCCTCCCAGCATCCCTACTCTTCTCCCTCCCTCACTGGATCAAAGTACATGCGGTCCAATGAAAGGTTTCTCTGTAAGTGCCGGGGTGACGTCAGAATGGGGCATGGAAAACAGCATCAGGAGCTTTGGCCGTCGCTGGATTCCAGGTAAATAAAACTTTTCACAGGGTTTAAGAAGGGGGGATAAAGAATATATAATTTTATAAGGGTTGGAGTGAACCTTTAAAGAAGTCTGATACTAATTCTGATGCTGATAATCCATAACAGGACTCAGGACTATCTTTTAGGGTGTATGGAATCTGATGGAGCCATAGCCAGCCTGGAAATAAAACATTGCCCTGAAAAAAATAGTTCTACCAACACTATAATGCATTACATCAGCATAATGCACACATACACACGTTGGAAGAAAATCTTAAAGGGACACCATGGTCACCAGAAATAGTACAGCTTCACAGGGGCACTATAGGCACCAAACCACAACAGCTCATTGAACTGGTCTAGGTGCACTGTACCTGTCAGTTTAACCCTGCAATGGTAATTATTGCAGTTATTGAGAAACTGCAATAATTACCTTGCAGGGTTAAGTCTACAAGACAACCTATAGTGTCAGGTATACATATTTGTTTCAGAAATCTCCTCTGAAATAGGGATAAGGACTGGATTAGGAGTAAGATTATTGGTGGGATTAGGGACAAAGGTATACATGTGGGGTATCGTTGTACTCGAGCAGTAGTAGACTAGAAATATCAGATCTTTCCACTAGTGGGACAAAACAGGTGGTCTGTGAATTTACACAAAATAAAACCATGTGTGGGGAAAAAATAATAATAATAATAAAAAAAAAAAAATATATATATATATATATATATATATATAAAAAACCAACAGATTTGACTTCATAACAAAATTATTAAATTAAAAGTGTCAAAACACCAGGCTGGGGAATCTGTCCTGGGAGAGGGTCACAAGGTACAGAACAGAGCGGCCTGCCCAGAAAATGAAGTCCTGGGAATGATTACTGGAATAATGAAAGACCAAGGGAGGCAGAGGGAAGCATGAATGCTGGAATGGCGCGTCCTTATATGCAGAACGTTTGCGATTCAGAAGCATCCACATCGCCTAGGCGACCTCCTTTTCATACATTATGGAGTCGCAGAGCTGACGCGAACAAATCAGAACAATAGTAACACTACATATAGCCATTCTAGGCCCTTATTCAGTGCCCTATCGTGGTTTCTACTTTGGTATCCTATTAGTGTGTTCCTGAATTCTGTTTGTATCTCTGGAATCCTGACCCGACTTATCGCATTTCTGGTATTTGTAACCTGAAATTGGCTAGTGTCTGATTTAGTCTCTTTCTGCTTATTTACATCCGTCCACTCTAAGGCCTGGTAATATATTTCTATCTCTCCTGTTTTGTTTCCCATATCCTGCTAGTTTGGGTATACTCCCCAGGACAGAGTGCCCACGTTGACTCCTTTTCACTGCCGAAAGCGCCTTCAATGAAGTTGTGAGCATCGGAACTGGTCCTGGTCATGTGACTGTTACTTTGACACCTACCTAGAGCTTGTTGCAGACCACGCACCCCTTCATGGCAACGGTGTTCCCTGATGGCAGGATAATGCACCATGCCACTCTGTTTCAGCAGGATAATGTATTGTGCCACACTGCAAAAATTGTTCAGGAATGGTTTGAAGAACATGATAAAGAGTTTAAGGTGTTAAACAACAAATCCAATCCATGGAGGTCCCACCTCGCAACTTGCATGACCTAAAGGATCTGCTTCTAAAATATTGGCGCTGGATACTACAGGACATATTTAGAGGTCAACGCATCAGAGCTGTTCTGGCAGCACTATGGGGACCAACACAATATTAGGCAGGTAGTTTAAATGTTGTGGCTGATCAATGTAGATGTTCAATAACTCTGGTATTCATGGTGTTAAAATCAACATAACTAGGAACGATGGATAAGTGGCTGTTTTATTTAAAGCTTACTTAAAATATTAAATCAAGGCCAAGTTGGAGGGTAAAGTAGTATTTGTTTTTACAAATTTTTCAGCTTATTTTTGATTTTTAGTGTCTTTATTCAGGATTTGTTTTAATCTAAATTAAAATTTTATTTAAATGGACACTATAGTCACCAAAACAACTTTAGCTTACTAAAGCAGTATTGGTGCATAGATCATGCCCCTGCAGTCTCACTGCTCAATTTTCTGTCAATTAGAAGTTAAATAACTTTGTTTATAAAGCCCTAGGCACACCTCCCTACAAGTGACTTACACAGCTTTTCTAAACACTTCCTGTAAATAGTCATCTAATGTTTACTTCCTTTATTGTAAATTCTATTTAATATATCATTTCATATCTCCTGGTTTGTTAATAGCTTTCTAGATCCTGCAGGAGCCTTAGGATGTGATTTAAAGTTCAATTTACAGAGTAGGAGATAAAAATCTTTTAAGTGAATAACATCTGATTGAAAATGGAACCATTTTGGTTTAATGCAGGCTGTGTCAATCACAGTCAGGGGAGGTGAGGCTAGGGCTGTATAAACAAACAAAATTGATTTAACTCCTAAATGACAAAGAATTGAGTAGTAAAACTTCAGAGGCATGATCTTTACACAAAATTTGCTTCATTAAGCTAAAGTTTATTTGGTGACTATAGTGTCCCTTTAAAGTTCTGATGGGGTATGATAGTTTTGTTTTGGCCATTTTTGGTCAAAGAATAAAGACTGAAGGAAAGAAGATTTTCAATCAAGAAATCAATAGGTAAGTAAGAATTTTTTTTTTTGTTGTTACAGGTAAAATGTAATTTAATTAATTTGCACCCACACTATTAAATGTTAGTATGGGGGCTAGCGAGGGTCATAAGTGGATGTGGGCTAGTGATTTATCCACTGGGATTAGCTCTATATAGCCTAAGAGTGGGCCTTTTGTGGCATTTATTTTAATTGCCCAGGAAACGCACATTATCTGTGTTCAATATTTTATTAATATCCACCTAGCAGCGCATGGGGGTGGAGAAAGAGGAGAGGCTTTTTTTCGCTAATATTTAAAGCTGCAACAGTGACATTGACTCACTATTTTGCAGCTATAATTTACAGGCTCACACCTGCTGTTTTCCTAGCATTGTGCTCTCTTAGCACTTTTGCTAGGATAATAGATTTACTTGCTAAACTTAGTTACGCTTGGAAGCCAGTCAGCTATGAATGATAATTCTCCCAACAGATACCATAACCTCTATAGTGAGTTATATTTGTTATGATGATGGTAAAACTGCATTAACCCTTACCCTAACCCTACCTCTAATTTTCTCAGATGAAATAAGCAGAGGGATTTTCCTGCTAAAACAGTAGTGGTCTGTAGGCGCCATCTACTGGTTGTTTGTAGCATGAGAGGGAGAACGTCCTCTCATTTTGCAAAGCCCAGCGGCGTTCACAGTCAGCAAGGGATTAAGGGGAGGGGAGCATGCAGACAGACCCTTTCAGAGTCTTTTCAGACCTTGGGACTCTCCCACTGGGCAGATTTAGCCTGAGAATCACAATGGTTGGGATTTATACAGATTTAAAGGTCTGTGTGGAGCACTCAAATTGGTCAGTCTCAGGCCCCAGCTGACAGAGGGGAGCCCAGGTATAAATTCTGCTGTGATCAGGAATTTAACTCTGTACTTACTTAAACAGTAGCATGTTCCAAGGGAATAATGTTAAAATTGCAAAGAACCTTTTTATGCAGTTTTCCTCTTATATAGCAAACAGAAATATTCTATTTATGGACTATTCTGTATATGTGGCTACTTGCAACATTGACAATATTCATGAAATATAGCTTCAGATAGTTTTCATAACACATCATTATTTTCACAACAGCATTGTTTATTCTCGCTTTAGCGTGTACATCAACTATCAAAAGTTGTCTTTCAGATACTTTGAGTGAGATTTTTGTAAAAATCAAGAAAAAACAAAACTCTGGCTAGCTGGTATGGGTTACTGTTATTGTAAATACCACCTCATACCACATGAGGTTGCAAGGTGTTAAAGGACCACTCTAGGCACCCAGACCACTTCAGCTTAATGAAGTGGTCTGGGTGCCAGGTCCTTCTAGGGTTAACCCATTTTTTCATAATTATAGCAGTTTCAGAGAAACTGCTATAATTATGAATGGATTAAGCCTTCCCCCTAATCCTCTAGTGGCTGTCTCATTGACAGCCACTAGAGGCGCTTGCGTGCTTCTCACTGTGATTTTCACAGTGAGAGCACGCAAGCGTCCATAGGAAAGCATTGTAAATGCTTTCCTATGCGACGGCTGAATGCGCGCGCAGCTCTTGCCGCGCGTGCGCATTCAGCCGGCGGGGCGGATCGGAGGCGGAGAGGAGGAGGAGAGCTCCCCCGCCCAGCGCTGGAAAAAGGTAAGTTATTACCCCTTTCCCTTCCAGAGCCGGGCGGGAGGGGGTCCCTGAGGGTGGGGGCAATTAGGTATTAGAGCCAGGCGGAACGAGTATGCTTTCCCTGGCACTATAGTGGTCCTTTAAGGATGCCAGTGGTGGCTTTCTGGAGATTCACTGCCATACCTTTCAACACTGGGAGATATGAAATCTAGATAGAGGGCTGGCCTATGGGGTAAGACCAGCGATTACACTTTTGTAACTGGAGATGTCCAAAAATGATATTCTGCAAGACAACATAATTAGCCAGGTGGTTTCATGATTAGCTTCTCCCCTATTCTGCTATGCACGCACTGCTTGAGTGTTTGAGGGCCAACTACTCCACCATTATGAATCATGGAATGGAGAAAGGTATATAGACCTTTTAACAGGTAGCTGCCCTCCTCAACCACATGTAAGGTTGAGAAAGGGGGGAGGAACTAACCAAGCATTTATGCCAGAGAAAATAAAGTCACACTCCACACCAATATATATGAGTTTAAACAATTAGTAAGTTTGTTTACTGGATAACATGTATATTGCCACTTCATTCAGAAGAACTTAACTGATTTATGCTTGTTACCTGACTTTGATATGCTCTCAATAATGAGAGTCTTTTAAAACATAAAAAAAAAATGTGTTCCTGTTTGAAAGAATACTCCAGGCACCTGGATAACTTAAATGCATAAAACATTATCTCATATGGCTTGGGAAAGGGACCCATATCAGACATCCCAATTCTCCGGGAGGTTTTGGGAGACTGCCACCTTTTGATTGCGGCTCCCTGACACCCGCAAATCACATACAATATCCTGGAAATCACATGTTATGTATATTTGTATACACTGTATGTGATACATACAATACTCTCTGAAAAGAGGCCCGGGCAGGTGCCACGGCCCTTTAAGAGCCGACAGGTCCCCTGTGATATCAGTCGGTAGGGAGGAAGTGACAGGCTTCCCAGAGAGGCATCTGGGAGGAATGGAAGGAGGAGGCTGGATCCAGGCAGCATGGAGGCACTCTCATCAGCCTCAGACAGGACCATCCCGGACACAAAGTTAAAGGACCACTCTAGGCACCCAGACCACTTCAGCTTAATGAAGTGGTCTGGGTGCCAGGCCCAGCTAGGGTTAACCCATTTTTTTATAAACATAGCAGTTTCAGAGAAACTGCTATGTTTATGAATGGGTTAAGCCTTCCCCCTAATCCTCTAGTGGCTGTCTCATTGACAGCCACTAGAGGCGCTTGCGTGCTTCTCACTGTGATTTTCACAGTGAGAGCACGCCAGCGTCCATAGGAAAGCATAATGAATGCTTTCCTATGTGACCGGCTGAATGCGCGCGCAGCTCTTGCCGCGCGTGCGCATTCAGCCCAGGAGGAGGAGAGAAGGAGGAGAGCTCCCCGCCCAGCGCTGGAAAAAGGTATGTTTTTACCCCTTTCCCCTTTCCAGAGCCGGGCGGGAGGGGGACCCTGAGGGTGGGGGCACCCTCAGGGCACTATAGTGCCAGGAAAACGAGTATGTTTTCCTGGCACTATAGTGGTCCTTTAAGCTAGCAGGATGGTGGCTACAAAAATATAATGTATGAAGTCTGTCTAAGATTGTGTATGTGCATCTATGTGTCAGTGTGTATATGTGTATTTGAGCGTGTATGTGCCAGTGTGTATGTATCTGTGTGTCAGTGTGTATCTAAGTGTGTGTGTATCTGTGTGGCAGTGTGTATTTCTGTATGTCAGTATGTGTGTAGCTAAGTGTGTGTCCATCTGTGTGTATCTGTGTGTCTCAGACACCCTTGTTTTTTCATTCTTTATTGCGATCAAAATGATTTCACTCACACATGTACAATGAGACTATATGCAGCAACTCATTTGCTTGAAAAATAAAAAATAAACAGAACAGACCACACACAGATATAAAGGAAATGCACACTTATTGCCCAGTCACCACAAGATAAGGAATGAGTATAAGGCTTTCTTCAATTGCTGTCTGCTTCCCCAACTCGTCAAATCCTCAGCAACAATACAAAGATATAAAAGATAGATGATTTCTAAAACCTAGAAATAAAAACTCTCTCTCTCGAAGAGCACAAAGTATTGCACTCACTGTAGTAACCAAATAGGCTCATAATCCAAGAATTACAAATCAAGCTATGTTTCTCATTTTCATGTTTAATTCACATTCCATAAAAAGAGAAACACAATATAGTGCATGTCAATATGCAACACCACAAGCAGCCTACACACACACCCCTCTCACAGCCTGCAGGGACAGGCTATAGATACAAGAACCACTACATTAAGCTGCAGTGGTTCTGGTGACTATAGGGTCCCTTTAATGTGAGGTAAATTAGAGATTAGTGCCACTAATAATATACTGGATTGCCTACTTACCACCAGATGAGGACAAGAAGATTATGATGGACTCAGTCTGGCTCCACTGATCTGGTGTAGAACAGGCTCTCTGGAGGCTGTTTGTAACAGTGCTCACAAAAATCAACGAACAGGAAG